ATCCGCACAGCTTTCTTTACTCATATATCACCCTTTTAGGCCTCTCTTTGATGCTGTCAAAACTTTCAGCCCTCCAAAAAAAAAAAAAAAATCAGCCCTCCTTCTTATACTGTTTTCCCTTAGCAGTTATCAGTAGCTAACAAACTATGCATTTTACTTATTTGTATTTGCTTTTGTCTGTTTCTACAACTAGAATGGAAGTTCCATGAGGACAAGAATTTTTATTTTTTATTTATTTTTTTAAAGAACTTTTAAAAAACTTACTTATTCATGAGAGACACAGAAAGAGGCAGAGGGAGAAGCAGACTTCCTGCAGGGAGCCTGATGCAGGACTCTATCCCAGGACCCCGGGATTGTGCCCTGAGTTGAAGAAAGACACTCACTCAATCACTGAGCCACCCAGGTGTCACAGAATTTTTTTTTTTTTAATTTTGATGGCTACTATCCTAGCATTGGGAACCATTTCTAGCCCCCAGTAGATGTTTCATATATATTAGATACAGTATTTGTAAAGCAAAACAGTTTCATTTAGTGGTCAAGAATGCAGTTTCAGAAACAAGACTCCATGGATTTCAATCTACTGCTAATATTTACTAGGTATGTAACCTTGGGCAAGTTATTTAACTTCCTGGGCTTCAGTTCACCACCATTAATATGGAAGTGGTGGGAGCACCTATGTGTGGAACTATGGAGAAGATTAAAGGAGGTAATACAGGGGGGATCCCTGGGTGGCTCAGCGGTTTGGCGCCTGCCTTTGGCCCAGGGCCTGATCCTGGAGTCCCGGGATCGAGTGCCGCATCAGGCTCCCTGCATGGAGCCTGCTCCTCCCTCTGCCTGTGTCTCTGCCTCTCTCTCTCTCTCTCTCTTTCTCTCTCTCTGTGTCTATCACAAATAAATAAATAAATCTTAAAAAAAAAGGAGGTAATACATGTAAAGTATTCAGAACAATGGCTGACACATAGAAGCCATCAATAAAAGATAACTATTGTGACTGACATACCTAGTATACAGTAGGTGCTCAGTTTAATGGTAGTTGTAATTATCATCAAACTTAAGCTTTAACAGTCTGAAAACCTCAGAGAATGAGCGGGTTTAAGAGATGGAGAATGCAGTTGTCTCAGTTTTTTAGAACTAAAAAAGCCAAGCTTGCATCCTATCAGGAATGTGCTGCTAAGTTGACCGTCTCTGATTCAAGTTCATGCGTGCAGCTTAGGCTAATAATATCAGTCTCCAAACAGCTGATGGAGCACAATATGACTGAAGGAGAATGGCAGCAACAGGACAAAGTGTCCAAGCTGAGGTCACAAGGTTGGTCTCAGTTAGAAAGCTCACTTCATCTGTCAAGCAGCGCCGAGTATAATTACCCAGAGAGGAGCACAGAAGCCTTCTTTTTGAGTCTCCCGAGCAGCCTTGTCACGGCCCAGTGAGGAGGCAGGCACAGGATATTATTAACTGTCCTACAAGTGAATGCCCATAAAAGCAAAGTTGTGCTGTTCAGCAAATTCCATTGCAGACATATCCAGCAACAGAAGAGTAATTTCTGGAAGCAAAGGAGCTATTAAACACATGATTCCGAAACAATAAGACAAAGCCAGGGCCTCTCCTTCATTCAATCAACTATTTCCCTTTCTGAATATAAACAATATTTTATAAAACAGAAACCCCAAACTAAAAAGTATATGAAGAGATGCTCAAATTCAAAATGCAAATTAAAATAATGAAATATCCATTTACATGTATAAGATTGGCAATGTTAGGAAGATGGCCCATGCCACAGGTTGGAGGACATGTGCACACAAACACCGTGCAATACTGGCAGGAGTTGTTTGGAAGCACCATGTGGACTACTTCATCAAATTAGGAATATGCATCCCTAGGAGCCCATGATTCTACTTCCAGCTATAGATTCCAAATATGCTCTTATGCAGGTCTATAAGGGGATATTTACGGAGATGTTTATTGTAGTTCTATTTGTGTGGCAAAGAGGTTTTTCTGGGCATCCATTACTGAGAAACTAAAGAAGTAAATTATGATAGATTTACTACTAAGCAGTTAGAAACTATAGATGAAGTATCCATATATTGTTTATTATAAAAAGAAACAGAATGACCTATATAATACAACATATTTATGTAAATAAAAAATATATTCCTAAAAAAAAACTATTTCCCTTTCTGATGCTCAGTTTGTGGATTTAGGGGATTTTCTATAAATAATTAATATTCTTTTAAAAAATATTTGTTTATTTTAGAGAGAGTATGTGTGAGTGGGGGTCGGGCCAGGAGGAGAGAGAGAACCCTGAAGCAGACTCCTCACTAAGCGTGGAGTCCAACTTGGGCTTGATCCCAGGTCCCTGAGACCACAACCCAAGCCAAAATTAAGAGTCACTTGTTTAACCGACTGAGCCCACCAGGTGTCCCTATAATTAGTATTCTTTTTTTTTTTTTTTTTTTTTTTATAAATTAATTTTTATTGGTGTTCAATTTACCAACATACAGAATAACACCCAGTGCTCATCCCGTCAAGTGTCCCCCTCCGTGCCCGTCACCCATTCACCCCCACCCCCCGCCCTCCTCCCCTTCCACCACCCCTAGTTCGTTTCCCAGAGTTAGGAGTCTTTATGTTCTGTGTCGCTTTCTGATATCTCCCACACATTTCTTCTCCCTTCCCTTATATATAATTAGTATTCTTAAACTACATAAGCCCTTAGATAATCTAAAGGAATTATAGGCCTTTTCTACAATTATACTTCTAAAATAATAGCTAAATAATGGACAAAACAGGGCATGTGGGTAGCTCAGTGGTTGAGTGCCTGCCTTTGGCTCAGGTCATGATCCCAGGGTCCTTGGATGGAGTCCCACGTTGGGCTCTCTGCAGGGAGCCTACTTTTTCCTCTGACTACGTCTCTGCCTATCTCTCTTTCTCTGTATCTCATGAATAAATAAACAAAATCTTTAAATAAATAAATAAATAAATAAATAAATAAATAAATAAATAAAAATATTGGACAAAGCTAAGGATTTTCTGTTGTTATTACATTGACGTGATGCATTTTTTTGCCAATCTTTTATCTTCTACTTTTCAAAATTATTTAACTGTAAAGATATTTTATTGTCCAGTCTGAATACATTTATATTACTACTACTGATTACTGATATTTAATATTTTTGATAGTTTGGGATTTTATGATCATTTTATTTTGTCTTATCTCTAATCTTTCCTTATTCTTTCTCTTTTTATTCCTTTGTTAGATTAAGTTGCCTTTTATTTCACTCACATAACATAGTTTAATACATACATTTTATATATTTAACAACACAATATGTAGAAAATTAGAAGTTCTCTGCAATTTTTCTCCACAGGCTTTACCACAGCCTGCCTCCTGAGGTGGTGAGAGGGGGGGCAGGATGAGCTTCCAGCCAGACTATCTCAGGAGCTGGGCTTCTGTGTTCCTGGTTTCTCTGTGCAACAGCCACCAGAACATCTGCTCAATCCCTGGGGCATTTCACACATGGTTCCTTCCTGGACAGGAAACAGAGTTTGTTTTTCAAATAACCAGTTTTACTGACCTTTTCTTGACTGATTGAACTGGTTATTGTGATGTCATGGAGACACAATCTACATAACACACAGAGTTATGGGGAAGAAAAGAATGAGCCCTGGCCACATATCACATGAATCTCTGCATAAAATGCTACTTAGGTAGGTGTCCTGCCTCAACACCCACGTCTCCTCTCCCCTTTCCAAGGAGGGAATTTTGGGGCTCAATCCTGCCCCTGGGCAAGATGTAAACTCTAGTGCAAGTAAACCCAGCATCAATGAATCTTAGAACCAGACAGACTCAGAATCCTCTTTCTAACCGCATTTTGTTCTCTCATATTCTTACTGCGTGTCTGCTTAGAGACAGAGTCCCTATCTGGATGACAGCTCCTTCCTTAGGGACAGTCTCCTTCCTTGAGACAAGTCTATCCCTAATCCTCAAAGAGGGCTATCTCATCTTTTTGTGGCAATGTCTGAATTTAGCAATTCCTAGATGCCCCGAAGCTGTGTTCCAGCCATCAGTGTGACACTTTTTCTTTCAGCTGAGTTTTTCTGAGGCTGACATTTTGCCTTGATATACACCTTTAGTTCCTTGTCCTCTCTTCCAAGCTAGAGGTCTTTCTGCTGCTTGCAGCCCTTCTCTCCAGCTCCACTCCAAGAAGTAGATTTGGGTCTCGGTCTAGCATCTGCCACTGGGCTAGATCAAGTAGCAGGCACTTTCACGTACACTTTCATTTTATACACACAACTCTGTAGCATGAATGTCCAAACTGGTATAACTATCCTTATTTTAGAGTTCGGAAAAGTGAGACTTAGAGAGGCTAAGTGTCTTGCCCATCTGAAGCCAAGAATTAAGTGGAGTCTGTTCTCAAAACCAGATGTTATATCCATACAATAAAATATTATTTATCCATAAAAAGGCATGAAGTGCTGATACATGCTACACTGTAGATGAACGTGGAAGACATAATGTTAAGTGAAAGAAGCCACACACAAAAGGTCACATATTGTACTATTCTATTCATCCGAAATATCTATAATAAATAAATCCACAGAGACAGAAGAGATTGTCAGCTGCCAGGGAAACTGCTTTCCCCTGGGGTGATGAAAATGTTTTGGGACTATATACAGATAGTGGTTTCACAACATGATGAATGCACTAAATACCATTGAACCACTCACTTCAAAAATGGTTAATTTTATGCCACATGAATTTCACCACAATTAAAAAAGAAAAAGCAGACTTTTAGATTTCCAGAACCTGAGCTTCTTTCACAGAAATACTTGTTTCCTAAGTTTGAAAATAGAAAAAAAAATAAATGATATTCTCTCACATTTTAAAATTAGAAATGGAGTGACTTTGCACGTCCGTTCAATGTCTGTGTAGGCATTACTTAGTTCCTGGCCTTGCAGAAACTCGGTTTTCGTCTTCTCCTGCACAGGAGACCTCTGCCGCAACCATGTTACACCAGGTCATCAGTCAGACCAAGAAGCATCAAAGCTTGATCCCCCTTTTCATATTTATTGGGGCAGGAGGTACTGGAGCAGCACTGTATGTGTTGTGCTTGGTATTGTTCAATCCAGATGTTAGTTGGGATAGGAAGAATAACCCAGAACCTTGGAACAAACTGGGTCCCAATGATTAATACAAGTTCTACTAAGTGAATGTAGATTACAGCAAACTGAAGAAAAAAGGTCCAGACTTCTAAATAAAATGTTTCACTATAAAGCTGCTTAGAATGAAGGTCTTCCAGAAGCCTTCTGCACAATTTTCCACTTATCCAGGAAATATTTCCCCTCTAAATGCACGAAATCATGTTGGTGTATTGTGTTGGAGTTTACACTGAATGATAAATATCTGAAACTTGAAAAATAAATAAATAAAATTAGAAATGGAAAAGTAATGTATTACTTTAATATTTAATCACAAAGAAAGATTTTAAATTTAAATAATTTTGGGGCACCTGGGTGGCTCAGTGGCTGAGCATCTACCTTTGGGTCAGGTCGTGATCCCAGGGTCCTGGAATTGAGTCCCACATCAGGCTTCCCACAGGGAAGCCTACTTCTCCTTCTGCCTATGTCTCTGCCTCTCTCTGTGTATCTCTCATGAATAAATAAATAAAATCTTTAAAAATAAATAAATAAACTTAAATAATTGTATCACAAAACTAAAACTGGTAAGTGAAAAAGTCACACAGTATTGAAGAGTACAGATAATGATACAAAACTACACCTGGCCCAACCACCTAGTCTCACTCTCAAGAGATAAACAGTATTATAAGGTGTCTTTGTAAACTTCCAGAAGATTTTGTGAGCATATGTATAACCACATGGTTCTTACTTTGCTTTTTATTTTTTTAAATTAACAATAGTTCTTGGAGAACTTCATAAGAGAAAATATATCTATCTTGTGAATTCTAATAGCTGCATGATATTGCATTTTATGGGCTTACCAAAAATTCATTTACCTTTCCCCTTGTCCTAATACTTAGTCCTTTACTTCTCCATTCTCATGCATTATATTTAAAATCTATTTATAGATCTAGGCAATACTAGTGATTTTCAAACTTTAGAGTGAATGAAATCACCTATGAAGCTTAGTAAAAATAAGGATTCCAGAGCCTCATCTCAACATGGCCTGACTTGGCATGTCTGTGGTTGGTCCACTCATTTTCACTTTTTAATAGCCACCCAGGGTTATTCTGATGCAAGTGGTTCCTAATCCTACTCTGAGTAATACTGAAACAGAATGGAACTCATTCCAGCAAACCACTGTTGAGCTGTTGCTATGTTCCAAAATTTGTGCAAGTGCTGGGAGTGCAAACAAGGCCCCTGCCCTGATAATAGAAAATACAAGTAAATCAGCCAGTGTTATACCATAAGGGACACACGGTGGAAGTACATAAAAGGTGCTGGAGCTGGGGAACACTTATGGGCAGAGGCCAGAAGAGGCCTCATGAAGGAGGTGACAGATGAGCAGAACAGAAATGGATTAACATGCATTTTCCAAGGAGATGGAATTGAAATGCTACAGAGACAAAGATGCCAGGCTGCAGTAGCATCATGAATAGTCATGGCACTGACAGAAAACAGGATGATCGCTAGAATAGCCTACAGGGGAGAAAAAAAAGTAATGGTCACATCACTGAGTGTGCCATGTTAAGGAGCTAAACTTTGTAGGTTATGGAAATCATGAATCGTTTTAAACAGTGAAGTACCACGGTTCAACTTATATTTTAAGGGTCATTGTGGCTACAGTATGAAGGATGGATTCAAGGAGTCCTGAAGATGGAGGAAAGGCGATTCATTTAAAAGCTGTCACCGGAACACCTGGGTGGTTTAGTCAGTTAAATGTCTGACTCTTGGTCTCAGGGTCTTAAGTTTAAACCCATGCTGAGCATGGAACCTACTTAAAAATAAACAAATAAAAAATAAAGGCTATAACAATACCATGCCAAAATTACGATAGTTAAAAAAGAAATATGTGAAAATAATAGAATGAAATCACCTTTTTATGATTTTAGGTAGGAAAAATGCTCTTTATATATGTTATAAAGCTCAGAAGTCAGAAAAGAAAAGAATGATAAATTGGATGACATAAAAATGTAAAGTTCTATGTGTATAATAAAAAAAAGATCAAAATATAAGCAACAAACTGAGGAAAATGTTTCCAACCACAAGTCACAAGGGCTAATTTCTTTAATAAATGAAGAATTTTCATTAATCAATGAGAATAGGGATGCCTGGGTGGCTCAGCGGTTGAGCATCTGCCCTTAAGCTCAGGGCATGATCCCGGGATCCAGAATCGAGTCCCACATTGGGCTCCTTGCAGGAAGCCTGCTTCTCTCTCTTCTGTCTCTGCCTCTCTCTCTCTCTCTCTCTCTCTCTCTCTCTCTCTCTCTGTCTCTCATGAATAAATAAATAAATAAATATTTTTTTAAAAAAGAGAATAGATTGATGATCCAATAGAAATATAAACAAAATATAACTAGACAGGGGCAGCCTGAGTGGCTCAGCAGTTTAGCGCCGCCTTCAGCCCGGGGCATGATCCTGGAGACCCGATATCGAGTCCCACATCGGGCTCCCCACAGGGAGCCTGCTTCTCCCTCTGCCTGTGTCTCTGCCTCTCTCTCTCTCTCTCTCTCTGTGTATTCTCATGAATAAATAAATAAAATCTTTAAAAAATAATAAAATAAAATAAAATAAATATATAACTAGACAGTTCACAACATACAAATGTTTTTTAAATATTTGAAAAATATTTAATCTCATTCATAATTAGAGCCAATGCAAAATAAAACTATAATAAAATACCATTTTAACTTATTAAATTATATTACCTTTTCAAAATTTTAAACATTTTTTAAGAAAAAAAAAATCCTCCCCAATGAATACCAAAAATTACAAGGGAATGGACTAATAAAATGCTTGTCAAGCAGATAAATGTAAAGCCAAATGAACCAGACATAGGATGGGGACAGGCATCTACATAACTGCCCATGCAAAAAAACCCTAAGGTGTTAGCTGGCAATAAAAGTAGTAATGCTACAGCAGAGCTGAAAACCAATGTTCTCAGTATGATCCCATTCATGTAAAAAAATTTTTCTTTGTAAAAAATTTTTTAAGTAACTTCACAAAATCCAAACAGTTTTATGATGTGATGTGGTTACAAAAAAAAAAAAACAAAACAATCAAAAACAAAGGAAAGGATCACTTGGGGTTTTAGGTTGCCATAATAGAAACATATGATCCAGCTTAAGGGAGATAGAGGCTCACATAGTAAATATAGAACGACTTTAGATTGAGACATAGCTGAATTTCAATCTCTCCTATTGAATGATTAGGGTCAAATAATTTAAGGTCTTTGATCTTTCCTATCAGGAAAATGAGGCTACAATAACCCATTCTCAAGGTTTTAAAGTATTAAGGAAAGAACATGCAAAGCATCTTAATATGGTTCCTGGCACAGAATCTGTGCTTAATTAATGTCAATTCTCCTTCCCCTTTCCATCTTCTCTTTTTTTTTCCTTTCCATCTTCTCTTTCCCTTTCCCACAATATCATATCATACCACTTCCCCATAAGAATACTATATTGCCATGAGAAGCTGGTGGGAGGTACTCAATCATCAAGAGACACTGGGAGAGAGTTAAAGCTATGGAATTAAAAACCACTTGAGTCAGCCCCAGCAGAGCTTGCAGATAATGGTGAAATAGAAAGATCTGAAGATCTGGAGTTCCAAGTAGAGAGAAGGGAAGAAGGCCCAAAGGTAGTTACAGAGAAGTAGTGTTGGGCAAGCAGATCAGTAGTCTGAATCCTCTGCAGAAACTTGTGGAAATTACTCACATCAGCAGCACATTTTCAGAAATGTCTCCTTGAACGGTAAGAGAAGGATAAGAGGCACATTGAGGTTTCTCTGCTCAGAGCCAAAATAGGAGCAATAACCATAAAAAGCCACCCAACTGGATCCAAACAGCTCAGAAGACCAATGGGCTGTAAGCCAAAGACCAATTAGAGCAGTCCTCTGGCAATAAGCTGTAGCCCTGATGAGAATATCACCTAGCTATTTTCTCAGCTGACAGTGCTGCTCTAAGAAATGAGGAAAAGTCAAAGGGAGATAAGTACAGGGGAGAAGTGAGTGCCTTTCTAAGAGTTTCCTACTTGTGGAGAGACAGAAATTGATTCTATAGAAAACTCTTTACAAATGAAACAAAAGTGCTTAAGAACATGAGAGGAAAAGGTTAACCCTAGCAACAGAGGTCAATCCTATGAAATGACCTCCATAATCTATATGTATTAATCAGGATTCTCCAGAGAAATAAAACCAATAGGATATATAGAAAGAGACACATAAGATATTTATTATAGGAATTGGCTTACACAATTATAGAGATGTCCCTATACCTGCCATCTACAAGGTGGAGAAGAAGAAAAGCCAGTGGTGAATTTCAGAGTCCAAAGGCCTGAGAACCAGGGGAGCTCATGGTTTATGCCTTAGTCTGAGTCCAAAAGCCCGAGAATGGGATGAGAGCAAGATGATAGTGTAAATCTGGGTACAATGTTTGAGGGTAAGAGAAGATGTATTCAGCACACACATAGAAGAACAAATTTTCCCTTCCTCTACTTTTTGTTCTATTTAGATCCTCAGTGGATTGAATGATGCCCATCTTCATTGGTGTGCATAATCTTTACTTGGGCTACCAAATCAAATGCTAATCTCTTTCAGAAATATCCTCAAAGACACACCCAGAAATAACATTTTACCAACATTCCTTAGCCTAGTCATATTGATACATAAAAATAACCATCGCACCATGAAATAACCCCAAGCATTACTGACAAGTCATTTGTCAGAAAATTTGGTGAGTGGGACACCTTCTCTGAGGATAAGGAAAAAAATATGTCTTGGTTTCAAAGAAGTTTCAAAGAGTCAGGCCAAAACTAGAGTTAGAAACAGGCTCCTTAGCTCCATTCTCAGTCCTTTTCTCTCTTCTTTCTCTCTCACATGGTATTATAATCCATTTCTGTGGCTTTAAATACTACCCATAGTCAATGACTTCCCCACTCAGACTTCAATGCTATCATTTCCTTCCTACCCCACCTCACTCAAGCATGGATGCCCTTCTTACTTCGTTCAGGTTCTGAGGTTTAATATTTCTTCATAAATACTCAACTTCACATATAATTGCAGAAATAAAACTTTTTTAAGTTTTTATTTATTCATTCATGAAAGACAAGAGAGAGAGGCAGAGACAGAGGCAGAGGGAGAAGCAGGCTTCTTGCCAGGAGCCTGATGAGGACTCCATGCTAGGACCCTGGGATCATGCCCTGAGCAGAAGGCTCAACCACTGAGCCACC